GGGGGGGGGGTGGCGGGGGTTCTCGTTGAGTTTGTCTAATTACACATGACAGTATAAGAAATTACACAGCTCCTCTTTCATGCAGCTCATACAATACAAACTCTAAACCCCATTATTCATCTCTAAGCCCTGCCCATACAGAAGTTAAAGTGTTCCCTGCACATACTTGCTTCGATGCCATGCTGAACAGTGTTTCTTGACCTTGGGGTGAATGACCTTTGGAATTCACAGAACATATTGCCATTCATCCATATCACTACTGGTCAATCCTGTGCCACACATGCTCTACAGCATCGCCATATTTTGATCACATCACTCACACTTATGTAAGCCTTTGGCACAAAGGCAAACTTTTATCATTTTGATAGGTTCAGTGTTTTACACCAGAGGTCATTTTAGAAAATGATTATAGGTACAGAATGCCTAATAAGGTAGTATTATATGAGTTTATAATTACACATTGCATGCGAGTAGTTCTGTACTTCGAGACATAAAATGGGAAACAGATCTAAACGTGCACCTGCATGAACAAATGGAGTGTTGATATGCTTTTACATATCTATAAGGTCACAGTAGTGATATTCCTACTCAAGTCTATCACTGTTTGTTCATGGGGGCGATAGAGAGCTGTACAACTATCACTGCTGGAAAGATACACCTTCTGGAGAAAATGTTCTGGCCTAAGACAAATTTAATGGCTTAAAACAAAAAGGTGATATTTCAGAAAGAGCTGTAAAAACTTAATAATAATTAAGTATTTATGTTTTGCTTACAATAGCTACATGACAAAATAACTTAAAAAGTGTGTTTTAAGATGCATGTGTGTGGTTACTGGGCTTCTGTTTTCTTTATTTTAAGGCATGTTTGTGTGTAAAGATGAAATGACTAGCAACATGGGCACTATCTTCTCTAATACATTAGAAGCTGTTGCCCCCATCAAATTGAAAAAGGTTAGAGAAAAACATACTGCGCCATGGTACAACAGTAATACCCATTCTCTCAAGAAAAAAGTAGTCTTGAGCGCTAATGGAGAAAAACTAACTTGGAAGTTATTAGAATTGCGTGGAAAAACAGTATGTCCAGCTACAGACAGGCTCTAAAAGCTGCCAGGGCCGAGCATATCCACAAACTCATAGAAAATAACCAAAACAATCCAAGGTTTTTATTTAGCACAGTGGCTAGATTAACAAATAACCAGACGCCACCCGATCTAAATATTCCCTCACAGTTTAATAGTAATAACTTTATGAATTTCTTCACTGGTTGGAACAGCAGCTATGCTAATTATGTCTCTATTTATTTATCTGTTTTTGCCACGGGATTTACACAAGCTTTAGTCTGGATCCAGAACACCTGAGAAGAGATGATGCCAACCCCTCAGAGGACCTCAGATGATGCCAACCCTGAAACAACATACAGAACTACCACATTTTGCTATAAGTTTGATTGCATCATATAATAATTGCTGTTAATAGTGTTCATCGTCTGTTTGATTACGTCTTTAAATGATTTTTCCGTACATTTCTGCCATATGTACATTAACTGACAGTCACCACTGATAAGCTACCACTAAATATTGTATAAACTTAATTTGCTGTAAAGTTGCTTTGCAACGATTTGTATCGTGAAAAGCGCTATACAAATAAACTTGAATTGAATTGAATTGTAAAGTGGCTGGACAAAATAACAGAAAGCCAATATATTAGTGTCAGTGTTCCCTCTAATTTTTGTTTTCTTGCTGAGCAAAACTTTTATCTATTGGGCGGACATTTCGAAAACTTTTAACTTTAATGTGCTATTTATATTTGATTTGACCCTTGATATAATTAAATGATGGACATTTTAGGTTACCTGAGAAAACATTTTTTTACAGTGCTGTGTTACTTACCAAGAAATTCTATTAAAAATCTCACACAGAACAGTTCAATTCTTTATTATAATATAATATAATAGGAACTAAGTATCCTCAAATGCAAACTGTGTGTTGCATCAAGAGAGCAATCATAAATGTGTTGCTTTTATTTTCTTGTTTTTATTCATTTATAATAATTTATTCATATAATCATTTATAATCATTAGACATTAGCCATTTATATAATTTATCATTTGATTATTTTTTATCATTTATTTATATCATTTTAATTATTTTATCATTTATTCACTTATTTTTTATTGTTTTTATAGTTTTAATATTTCTTATTTTGCTTGCTTATTCATTTTCATTATTTTCATTATGTTATGATTGTGGGGTTTCATTAACTGTTTTGTCTGTATGAATAAGAAATAAGATGGAATGTTTATGGAAATTCAAGGTTTGTGGGATGTTGTTGTGAAGCAGTTTGGTATAACACTACTTGTTGAATTTGTGCTGGTCATACGAAGTCTAAGCATTGAAACATACACAACTAAGATTATACAATAAACTCTGCTCCTTTTTATCATCATCACTCTGTCTCCTGCTTCTGCTTTTCTCTGGCTTTACTCAGTTAACTCTTGACTGATAGAAGACTGTTAATACAGTTTTGGGTACCAGACAAAACACTGGTTTTTGGGTACCAGACAAGACTTGATATTAAAGGGGTCATATGATGCGATTTCAAGTTTTCCTTTCTCTTTGGAGTGTTACAAGCTGATAGTGCATAGATAAGATCCCTGAAGTTGCAAAGACTAAAGTCTCAAAACCAAAGAGATATTCTTTATCAAAGTTAAGACTCTGCCACGCCCCCCTAAAACGGCTCGTTCTAACACGCCCCCACATATCTACCTCACTATGTGGAAATATTTGCATAATGCCGCCCAAATGTGCACGCAAAGAAAGAAGGCATGGTTTCAGTAACCGCAGTTAGTGTTGAAGCAGCATGTCAGGGAGACACTGTGTGTTTAAGTGCGAAAGCAAAAGCACTTTATTTGGATCACTTACAACAGAACAGCAATGCATTTTATGGACGACCGTTTCATGAACCTAGGAGAGGAGGTAATTCTGACTTTGCTATGACAATCTGGCGCTTCTGAATCAGCTACTGTTTTGTTATTAGTTTAAGTATTTGCTATTGACTGTTCAAATGCAGAGTTTTGCACATCGTGTG